TGTATATTTTATTTTGATATTGTTTTGATCATTTCATATTCGATTTGTTAATAAAAATTATGGTAACGGCGTCGACAACGGTGACCATTCCTATAAATGACTATATAAGAACCAACATAGAATAAAAATATTATACTTATTTTGATAAAGAGTAAAAATAAGATGAACCCTTTAAAAGTATTAAAATTTCTACATATAAAATTCTGTTCATACAATACTAAAAATATATATACTTTAATATAGGTATTTATGTATATGTATAAGAATGTACATATTTGAAATATTTTATGTATGAATATGTTATTCACGATTATTTTTTTCCATAATGTTATTCGTCACAATGCTTCAAATTTTTCTTTTTCATAGGTGCTCACATATTAAATATGTACTATTGAATAAAATTAAGAACTCATATAAGTTTTGCTGAAGAAAATGCTTAAGTTTAAGACATATATACGTTTATACATACACAGGTCTTAAAAATATTTAAGGGATAAAAAAACGGATAAAACACTTGTTTTAATTTGTCCACATTTTTATATTATTCTGGCCGTGTTTTGTTTATCTGAATATCTAACTCCCCGGGAAATCTTGAAATCGTTTTTAAGCTTATACTCTAAACCCAGTACAACATATCTTAAGTATTTTTTGAAAACTACACAGAAGTTTTTTTACAATTTCAATCAAGCAAAATTTTACGGAGACGTATAATTTTGGAATTATGATATTTTAGCGCACAATTTGTCCACCTTAAAGAAATTGATATTTATTTAATATACGAATTAAAAGATTTAGTTCGTGCAATAAAGTAAGTTGATTATTTTAGTTTTAATGAATTATTTGGAGCATTTCTATATTTATATTGCTATTTTTATCATGTATTTTTCAAAGTCCGATCACTGAATATCTCCAGTATTGATTTTTTATCAGGTATTTTTCAAAATCCGATTGCCGAATGCCCCGAGTAGTGATACTTTTACTCCTAAAATATCGCAACAAAATCCCTCCTCTACGTGCATGAAAATTGTAGCAATTTCATCATACTTATGAACCTATTTGTATTTTATAAATATTTTTATATAAAATTATAATTTTTTTTCTATAGTTTCGTGTAAATTTGACTACTGTTTTTCTGTTGAGAAATCTAATTGTATACATTAATAAAAATTTCAGGGAAAGTTTATTTTATTTTTGAAAATTATGTGTTTTGATGTTTTTGTTATAATATTACTTTCTTAATTTCGAATTCCAAATGAAACTTTCAAAAAATTATTATGATATTATTATTGGTTTTTAACACTATATTTTATTGATTATAAAATATAATCGCATTTTTACCTATGAACACATTCACATACATATCCAATTTAGAATTTACATACATATAAAATAAACATATTTAAATTTATATATGCAAATTATCCTATAGCCATTTAAAAGAAAACATAATATTAGGTATACAAAAAGCAATATAATTCAATCTTATGTATTCCAAAAAAAGTAATAAAATAAAAACAAAAAAAAAATAAAACATATTATAAACCACTCAAACCATTCACTAAAAATTAAAAACAAAAAAAGAAACAACATACGAAATACGAGTGCACAGCAGCAATATCTGAAAAAATAACAAAAATTTTTTATCAAATCCCGTACAGCATATAAGTCACGTCCCGCCCATTTACTTGAAATTATAAGGCACATCGCATAATCGTAAGCAAATACTTGAAAAGTAAAAACAACAAAAAAAAACAATAACACGCAAACACACTCTTAAAAAACAATCAATATCTTGTTTTGTTTTTTTATTTTTTTCTTACTATACTATCAAACATAATAAAATAGCACTGTGCCAAATCATTACCAGCACTTACGCTATACTACTAATACCACACACAAAATATACATTGTATATGCATATGTATACCACACAAAAAAAATAATCCATTCAGAAGCGAAAAATTTCAATTCGTGACTCTTATTAAAATGCCACTGGTGAGCTATGTACATGACTATCAGGGATGTCAGGTCCTTGTTTTCCCACCAACGAAAAAATATATTATATGTTATACATATATATGCATATGTATGTGTATAATAATATAAAATCATAAAAGTTGAGCATGTACAAAACATAAATACGCATTTTACATATTTATACGGTTTTAAGAAGCATATATACAGAGTGTATATGTGTGTGTGTATTAAAAAACGTTATAAGGATTGAAAATAAAAACCCATGTATACAGATGAAAATTAACTTACATACATTCTTTTAATTTACGTTAAAAAGAGTGCTATATAAATGCAATTTTACTCCAAAAAATAATTGTTTATGCTATCCTTTTCTAACTTTATATTGAAAATATCAAATAGTTGAGTTTTAGATGTTTTTAACTTTAACACAGAGTTGAAAACTCTCATAATAATATTGTGCAGTAATTGTTGATTATTTGTTTTTATTTTTCAACTAGAAGAGAGAGAAAAATCTCTTTCAATCTCTCTTTTCGCCTTTATCATTTTCTTTTATTTTTTCAAAAATAAATAAAAAGTAGAATACACAATTTTGTCTCTCTTTACTTATATTTATATGTGGTAGTTACAACATGATATCGTATGGTATTCCATGAATTAGTTTAACGGAATTTTGTAAAACAATTTTCGTAGAGAAAATTTAATCGTAAAAAATTCAAATAAAGTGGAAAATGTAATGAATAAAAAACTATTTCAGAAGAAGAAATAAATAGAAAAGAAAATGATAAAAGAGTAGAAAGTGGAAGAACAAAAACTTAATCACAAAATTAATTGTACTTTATTCGAGTTTATATTTTGTTTATTAAACTTCTACATAAATATTTTGCTACAGTTTTCTATATAAAACTTTTCTAAAAATTTAAAAAAACAATTATTTCTCGATTTTTAATGTATCATTAGGAACTTGTACAATATGGAACTGTGGTATGTAAATTCAGAAAGAATAATAATTTTACATCAGATGTGCGAACTATTTAAATTTCATTTCTATACAATGTCTGCCTCGCATAAGTTATTGAAAAAATAAAAAATTTGCCATGTTTTTTTATATTTTCTAATTTGTTTTGTAAAAGCATAATTTTCTTATAATGGAAATTAACTAAAACTTATAAGTTTCAAAAACAAACTAAAACTAATATCATTTAAAATTTCTATTTGTATCTGAAACACAATACCTCATTTTGAAATTTGTATTTAAAACTCAACAGCATTATTAAAAGAGCATATTTCTTATCTTATTCTAACAACTTAAGTTGATTAAAGTATTTACTTTAAAGAAGAAAGTTTTATTGAAATAATTATTATAATTTTCGCATTTTGCATATCTTTGGGAGCAGAAAAAAAAATACGAGACATATCATCAGAATGATTAAATTTCGTTGCTAATTGTAACGCAAACGTCCAAACACATAATTATATTTTTTGATAAGAAGCCATTTACTATTTAGGAAAAATAAGCTGACTAAAATTAAAATTTTTCGAACTTTGAAAGGCGGTAACTTGAGCAATGAAATTTCGTTCATATAGCGAAATGAATTTTCGTTATTGTCTTAGAGAAATAGGTTTATCTTTATATAGATTTATACAGATTGTGACTTTTGCAATATTACAGTGTGTTTACACTTAAAACACATTGGTGTGATTGAACATATTGTACACTTTGTTTTTTTTTTTTTCATATTTCCGACATTGTCAAATGGATATTTTTTTAACTTATTAGCGAGAGTGCGGATAAACATTTTGAAATATTTTTTTCTTAAATACTTGTTCTGTCTACTTTTATTCTTGTTTATTTTAATATTTGTTATATACATATACTTGCGAGCTCTTAAAAAACTAACCGTAAAAACATGATCGAATTGTTCTGTACTCTCTCTATATACCCTATATGCATAAATATGTTGCTGCTGGTATTACAATTTCTCATAACGACGTGTATATTTTCTATATTGTATAAGTATATTGTATATGTAGAGTTATGTTATGCATAAAATATACTGAGTTAAAATTTCTTAACACTAATACATTGTAACTAAACGGTATAATCCAGCCCTAATGTTTTGAAAAAAAAATAATTGAATGACACAAAAAAAAATCAAAATTTTCTTTCTTTGCTTTTTTTTTGTATTCTTATTTTTGTTTTATACTTCTGTAGTGTTGTCCTTTATTTTCAGTTTTTATTTTTGCTTTATTTTCAATTTCCATATAGTTCACTTCTTTATTATTGTTGTTGCTTTTTTATTACACTTTACTTTATATGTATATCACTTATGTATGTATATATGTATTTTTCTTTTGTCAAAAAATTTTGTTTTTAATTTTGTATTCGGGAAGTTTTCAGTTTTGATTGTGACGTGAATATATTCGCACGTACAGCGAGTTTAAAAGAGGAAAACAGAAAACTATAAGAATAACTACACTCTTATGTATTTTTTGTGTGTGATTTTCAAACGAGTGTGTTTTTTGTTATACTATTTAATTCCGTGTGTTACAAATATGTGAATATACTTTTTGTGTTCTTCATACAAATTACAATTTTTGACTCCCTTTCGCATATATAACTTGCATTAAGAATAAAATATTGTCGTAGAAAGTTAAAAGAAAAACTAAAACAAAAAAAGCAAAATTTTAAGCTCAGTGCCGTTTCTATTCGATGCAAGTGTTATACGGGTTAACGGAATATTTTTGAAACAAAATTATAATAATAATTGTCAAACCTAAAATAATTGTTATAATTATAAATAATAATACAATTAATTAATATATTTAAATTTTAATTGAATTTTAATCAATAACAAGAGAAAGTGAAATAATTTCAAATTTTTCCAAATTTGGGATTCGATCAATATGAGAATTTCAATTCTTTTATAATATAAAATTATAAATTTCATGATATTTTTTATTTAATATTCTGATCATATAGAATTTTCGTTTTATTCATAATACAAAAATATAGGTATGTGATTCGTACATTTTCTAGACATGATTTGATTTTCATATATTTTCATAGTTTCATGTTAAATAAAATGCATTCATTGATGTTAAACAAAACAAACAATTTATTTACGTGCGGTTTCAACATGCTATAAATAAAGTACACGTACTAATAGTAAAATATATCAATGAAAAGTGGACACCATGACATCATATGTCAAATGCATATAGTATAGGATTTGAAAATTGTAAAATAATAAAAATGGAATAATTTTTTTAATTTTTACAATACAATTCGAATGTTTTTTTAAAAATTAAACTAATTAAACATTAAATAATTAAACAAATTAATAAAATATTACAAAAAAAAATAAAATTTCAAAATATTTATGAAAAAAAATTACATAACAAAATTGACAAAGTAATTTTGCTGAAAGCTGACAAAAAGCAGAGCCTAAAAAAGAGTTCTTTTTTTAAAACACAAAATACTTAAGAGTGAAGATTAGAAAATTAAGTTCTAAATAAATAAAAACAAAAAAAAGTTATCATGCTTAATTTAATTTGAAAAAAAAATTAAGAAAATTTTAAAAGAATAAAAAATTTTTATCGGAGTTTTTTTCCTTTTTTTTCTATTAATCGAACCATTAATATTAAAAATACTTATTAAAAATGTTGCCTTATCAAGCTGTTGCAATGGATTATGCAGCGGCAGGTTATCAAAGGCAACCAGGTACTGGTATACCTGGTGGACCAATGACACATCATATGGGTTCACTTGGTATGGCTGGTGTTGGTGTTAGTGTTGGTAGTGTTGGTTCACCATTTACACATTCATGGTTGGTGCCAACACAGGATTTATGCGCTGTACCATATAAACAAATGCCGAATCAACATCATCATCAGAATTCACAAATGCATCCAAATCAACAAATTGAACCGGGGCATGTTATTTTTCCTATAATTATTATAATTAAATTATCTTTTTTTATTTAATAAAATATTTGAAATTTAAATATTTTTTTAGGTATAAGTACGCAAATATTGGTGTGTATTTAAACTTATTTTAAGTATTAAAATACCGCAACTATACTAGTACTCTTTTCTTACAACAATTTAGGATCGAGTCGATTTTCACATTTCGTTCACTATTTTATAAAAGAAGATTAATTTTTTCCAAAAATTAAAACAATACTTAAACTTATTTAATTATAAAGAAATAGATGACCAAAATATTTTTGATATTTATTTGAATTTGGTTTGTTTTCAAGAAACACACGAAATTTGAAGATTTACCGAACTCACTCACTTTATTAAAGAATAACTTTCCCTTTATACACAAAAATTGTGTGATATTTACGATTAAAGATTTCTTATTTTATGAGTGATGCCGCATACAATAAAAACGAGAAAGCTCAGCAGTGTTACTAAAAAACCACTTAAATATCCTTTAAATTGCATTAAGCTGGTTACAAAAATTCAAAATTTTTCCGGTCGAATATTTATACAAGAAATGCAGTAGTAAAATCAAAACAATTAAAAATTTAAAAGAACCAACTGTTTTCAAATAGTTTATGTAACGTTAAAAAATCTTTAAGTTTAATTAATTTTGCTCAATTTAAAAAAATTATGTTGTTTTATTTCCTATAACAATTTTTTCCATAAAAAACAAAATTATGCAGCTTAAAACTCTAAAACACATTCGAGAACCATTCAAAAAGGAAATTATTACATTTAAAAGGTTCCAAATTCACTTAATTTATGTTTGACACTTCTAAAGTTGCAGCTCTGTACCAATTTTTATAATTTGACCCCATTCGATTTCATTAAAATACTTGCGATAAAAAAATATAATTTCTTAGTTTTTGCAACAGTCTTTTACATTTCAAAATAAAAGAAGTGAAGAATGAGATTTAAAAAAATTATTTTAAAAATTTAAAAATATTTTGGGTATTATAAAAAGGTATTTAAATTCCTTAAAGGTCATTTATTTTTTTTACTTACACATCATTTCATTATTAAATAATACGAACACATTTTGCTTATGTGCGTTGATAGATAACCCATTTACTCTGGTGGTCAAATTTTTATTTTCAATCAAATATTTACGAAAAAATTTCAATTATTTTCATATACTTACCGATTCAATAAGAAGTCAAGTCAGCAATTTCTTAAAGGCAAGAAAAAAAAAACAAGATTTAAATCTAATGATATGCTATATTACTCCATAAACATACAAATTAAATGACTATGCTTAATTTTGAGTAACACTTTTAAGAAATAAAAAAAAAATACTCAAAATATGCTACTGTACCTATGCCGTAAAAATAATTTTTCCATTTTTTTATATTGGTGTTAAAAAGTCAGCATGATACCAAATTTTCTTTATTGGTTTCACTATATTTAAATTGCAGCAGGGAAGTTTTTTGATTTTTGTATTTTTTTTTTCTTATAAAGCTGGGCACCATAGTCTTTTGTACTTTGTATTGAGCTTTGTATAATGAGTTTCTATTTATGTTATTATGAGTAATTAAATTTTAAAGTTAGATTCATGTAGGTATAAATTAGGATAGTGCTACTGGAATTCTTATTTATGTTTTAACTTAGTTTTTTAACAAGTACATACACCTTATATTTAAATTGGATTTTCTAAAAATTTTATCAAAATTTTACAAGAATTATTGAATTTATGATGTACCATACACATTAATTTGGATGAGGTATCTTATAAAACCTTGTATTTGTACCTTATAAACAGCTATGTTCTTCTATATTAACTTCTTAAAAACAAAGAATTTGTCCAAATCAGAATATTCTTATATAACAAATACCAACTTTTGAATAAGATTTTAAAATTGCGTATACAGGGAATTTTGTTATTTTTCGTAAATACGCGTATGCTTACCATATATACGTACATATACGTAGGCAAATACATGGAAAAACTTTATCCTTGTATTATTAATTTCATTATAACCGTCTTAGACTCTGAAATTTGTGTAATTTTTAATCAAATTAGATAAAACTGCAAAGCTTATCTTTTATATTCTAGTATATGTAAAACTAATTTTGTTTTCCCATTGAATGGACCTAGTATTAATGTGACAACATTATCCTTATTTGTGATTTGATTATTATGAAGTTGCTGATATAGTTACATACGCATAAGTAGAATTATTAAAATTAATTTGAATCAGTAATTTAACGATAAAGTCGACAATAATTTCAAAAATAATTAGACGCTTTAGAAAAAAAAAATATTGGTTATGGAACTATACGTTATTTATTATTTACTGTGTCCTCTTGTTAGTTAGAAATGTTAGAAAAGAGCTTAGTCCAACTTAAAACCTGGTTTTAAAATAGTATCAATAATCCAAAAATATTAAATTTTTTATTTCTAAACATTATTTGCTTTGTCTCTATTAAAAAAATTGGTTTTTGAAATTATAGCGTTTTCATTTTAGACTGGCAATATTTGTAATTACCATTGTATATTTATTTGTAATTACCATTGGTTATTATTACGTTACGTTACTATAACTCATATTGATACAGAATATTGATGGTCATAGTTACAGTTTCTTAGTTTTTGCTAATGTTATTTTATATTTCCCATCAAAAACTCTTAAAAACGCTTTCATAATTGCTAATAAATATGCAAATTTATTGATTATTTTGCTTAAGGAAACAAAAAAATTGCAATTATTACGGATTTAAGTAAAATTTTACGTTTATATTTTTATTAAAAGCTATTTATGCGTTAAATTTCTTTCCCAAACCATTAACAATCAATTATTTCAAAAAATTGTTTTATTACTATTATAATATTATAATAAAAAGTTGGGTCAAACCAATGGTTTGTAATGTAGCACTTTTCCCTTCAACAAGTGAAAATAATGCTTTTAAAAACAGTCTATGTATATCCACCACACTATTAAAATTATTTTCATTTATAAACGAAACTATTTCTAGCATTGCATATATTTAGGATGAACCAAAAAAGCAAAAAAATTAATATAAAGCCAAAATTAATATAAACAGGGGTTAACATAATGCTCGATTTTAAGGGTTAATTGCGTGAGTTAAGAAAAACAATTATATTTTTTAATGACGTGGAATTTACCGTTAAATTTTTGCGTTTATAGAAATTTGAAAAAGCTTCCGGTTTCAGAAATATAAGGTGTCAAAAATGCAAATTTTACAAAATTCAAGAGGCCATAACTTGAGAGGGGCTGGAGATGGAAAAAAATTTTCTTCTAAAGAAATGAACTACTTGTTAATGTCTACAAGCCCCTAAAATTTCAAGCTTCTACATGCTGGGGTCTAGAAGAAAAACGACATCAAAAATTTGGAAAAAAAGGACTGTAGATAACGGTAAATTTGAACGGCCATTTTGTTTTTCTAAAGTTTAACTATAGTATACCGCGGTAGGGGAAGCAAGTCACTGCCTGTTTGCGTTTGCAAAATTTCAAAAATGCTTATGGTTTCATTGCAACAAATATTTAAAATAGGCCATTTTTAGTGCTTTGGGGGGGTATAACTTCTGGAGGGGGGGAGATAGGTAAAAATTTTGTTCTACAAAAATAAGTTTCTAGTAAAGATCTATGTACATATTAAATTTCAGCTTTCTATCTTTAAGAATGTAGAAGTTTTGTAAACAGACACACGGACAGACGGACGGACGGACGGACGGACGGACAGAGTGAAACTAATAAGCACTTTTTTTCAAAAAATTTTTGGAAAAGTGCTAAAAATTTATTTAAAAAATCACAGATGATATCAAATTACCGGAAAAGAATTGAAATAAAAAAAATTTTATCCACCTCATTACCAAACTGTGCACCTCATCAGAAAATTTTCTAATTCTCATCATTATTATCATTATCAATGCATCATTAAGAAAGCTACACGATATAGCTCATATAAAATAAATAGTGTAGCTATAACATTATTAATCTACACACATGTATATAAATTTATATATATTGGAAGTGCAGTAGCATTCAGTTCTAAATCTGATAAATCTAATTTTTCTTTGTTCGACAGTTCATTCCAATTTCTATAACAGAAAATCAAACTAAAGAAAAAGTTTAATTGAAAGAGAAGAAAATAATAAAATAAAAGCAAAAAATTGTTACACTTCAATATTAACAAGGAAAATCTTAGTTATAACGTCAATTTTGCTTCTTTTTTTTTACTTTAAAGTCTACTTTGTAACAAATTTTCTTTAAATACTTAACACACGAAAAACAATAGAAATAAAAAAAAATTAAATGGGATACAAATTTTTCATTTTAATATCGAAAACATTTCATTTTAACTGAGATTTATTAGTTAATTTTTATTTTCTAGTTCGATGACGATGAAAGTCTTATAAGATAAAAGAGTAGTCATAATTGCAATCGTCAAGTGAATTGCCAAAAATTATTTATACAATTTTATGGTTAAAAACAATTATAACCTACATAGATACACTCGATATTATTTATTATATGCTCTTCTATCGCACTAACACTTGTGGTATTTTGGTGCGAAAAAAACAATAAACTAACAATTTTGGCGAGAAACGGCCTAAATATAGCCATATATGTCCGTATTTAACAAAAATATGTAGGTAATAATAAACTATGAGGATATATTTATCCCCAATAGATTACCATCATGGCAATTCCAGAGTTAGAAAATTATAAGAACAATATTTTACTAATTTTTATTTAAAATTAAATTTTATAAAATATTTAATATTTATGTCCTTAATTATACTTCTCATATTTTTAATTAGTTCTTACATTCTTGAAATTAATTTATTGGTATCAAGAAGAGATTTTTGCATACTGTTAGAAAATTATTCCTAAAAATAATTTAGGATAAGATTATTTAGATAAAGTATAGTATTGAATTAATTCAAAAGAAAAAATCTGTATTCCGACAACTAAAAATAACA